AACCCTGCATTTCCTCTGTCCCCCTCCTTCAGATCAGAATCCTCTCCTGCACTCATACCCATTCCCCCTCCTGGACCCTGCATCCCAATCCCCTACCCCAGCCTGGTGAAAGTGAGTGAGGATGGGGGAAGAAGGAGGATGGAGTGAACAGGGCGAGGCCTCAGAGAAGGGATGGAGCAGAGACAGGGCCTCAAAGAAGGGGCAGGAAGGAAGCTGGGCAAGGGTATTTGGATTTGAGGTAAATCTTACATTGCACTTACATGGAAAAAATGATCTTGTGTTTAAAAAGGTTGGAGACCACTGCATTAATGAGTACCCAGGCAGGTTAAAATGTTCCCCTGTGATCCCTCACTCTCACAAGTGGGAAACAAGCCAGTCCTTGCCTAGACAACCCCCTAACCTGAAGCAAATTCTTTCCAGCAGCCACACATCACACCTCAGACACACTGACCCAGGAATCTACCCCTGCAATAAATCCCATTGCCAACTCTGTCTACATATCTATACTAGTGACACCATCACAGAACCTAACCACATACGCCACAACATCAGGGGCTCATACACCTGCACATGCACTAACGTGATATATGCCATAAAGTGCCAGCAATGCCCCTCTACCATGCATATTGGTCAAACCAGACAGTCTCTGTGGCAAAGGATAAAGGGAGACAAGTCAGACATCAGAAATGGTAATACACAGAAACATGTTGTCAGCCGACGGTCAGGGCAGGGTGTGTGTGTGTGTGTGTGTGTGTGTGTGTGTGTGTGTGTGTGTGTGTGTGTTATACACCCGAGACTTCAACTGCTGAGACTGGAATCCCTTGCAGCGGGCAACCTGGAGGAGGTTGACGGGCGCCCCAATTCTGCCAACCGATGGTCAGGGCAGTGAGTGGTGTGTGTGTGATGACCCAGTTAAAGGAAAAGGGCAAAGTACTGCAGGAAAATCCTCTTGCAAATAGCTTCAAGGTCATATGATGTCTATCCAAAGAGGGCAGTAATTAACCTAACCTACAAGGAACTTGCCTATAAACCAAACAGAAGTGGAAGCTGGGAGTCTCTATCGTTTTGTCCTCTCTACCAAGTTAGAATAGCTTCATAGGACATCGTAGAAGCCTCCACACCTCTTAGCTATCCTGACCATACCGCAAATCTAGCCAGTGCTGTGCACTTCTGAGACTGTATTCCAAGCACACTGGTGGGTACAGGGATTGTGGGCACCCTCTGACATGTAGTTTATCACTGAATGTGGGCTAGAAACATTATATATGTTTCACAGAGTAATAGAAATGTCTCTTGTGATATCACTTGACTTTAGATAACAAATTACCTTAGTGTTGTTTAATTAATTGCAGTATTTGATGGCTGAAAAAATGTCTAAGCCCTTGTATCTTCTTTTCAGACGTAATTAATTACAACTTCAAAAGATTTCTGCCTTAAGTGAGTGAACGGGTAGTTGCTGCAAGGAAGGACAGACAGCAGTTTCTTACACATCACTGGGTCTTCTCACAAGTAAGTCCTTTTTCTTACTTATTTTTCTTTCTCTTCCTCCTTTTTTCAACTTTTTCTCTTTTCTGTGGCTCTGACTGCCATCATGGGTAGAGCTGGGTGAAATTTTTCAACCAAAACTTTGTTTCAGTGAAAAATTCAGGCCCGACAGCAACACCAAATCCTTTTATGAATTCATGTTGATTTAATCGAATTGTTCATTTAGAGAAAAACTTTAAAAACAAAAAATTGAAATGTCAGTTTTTCAATGGAACAATAACCATGATCCTGGACATATCCATGCGCATTTATATATCAAATGTAATTACAGTATAGGTAGGTCAATAAAGCATCCTTCTTAGTGATCTTTTTTGGCCATGGGATCCTAAATCTTGTTCAAACTTCAGCCACAGTGACCCCACAAAGAGATACTTTCCTAAGTCAGAGTGTCCCAGAATAAGCTGTCCTCCTTTTACAAAAAGCCCCTCAAAGTCACAAAATTTGAACACTGAAGAATCAGTTCATTATAGAAAAGAAAACAATAATAATTTTTTACCAAGACCCTCAAGGGTTCTTTCCTCTTTGGGATTTCTTATGATGCTGAATTGCCTCTCTTTCTGCAGAGCATTAGACCTGAGATTCAACCCCAGTTGCAGTGTTCTGAGCATCATTTGATGGTCCAGTCAAGAGCCCATCTTGTTCTTCTTTTCATTGGCTAGTGATATCGGTAGTGTCATGTCTTCAGCTGTCTTCACGCCTGAACAGCCCTGACACAGCTACCTTACCTAGCCCTCGGGCTGTTCTGCATTTAGTTTCCTCATCAATCTAACTAAATCCAGAGGAAAAATCTAGTTAAATTGCTGCAATGCCCTAGTGTGAATGAAGTTATAGCAGCATAAAAGAGTTTATATTACTACAGCTAGTTTCAATAACAACTATCTGAATTATGGTAGCACATAGGAGTCTTAATCATGGACCAGAGCCCCACTGTGTTAAGCCCTGTACAAACATACAGCAAAAGATGGTCCCTGCTTCCACAGGCAAAGTAGTGCAAAAACATGAAGACAAGCCCTCTACAATTTGGGACTCTGCCACCTCCTTTTCCCCTTAGCCCTGGCTTTAGGGATGCCATTGCCTCTGTCACAGGTAAACTAGAGAATAGATCTTACCAGGTCCTTGGAGGACCAGCTTTTTACAGGGACCCAGAGACTAGCAAAGAGCATCACAACTGAGACAGATCCTGCAATGTTCTCTCTTAAAAAGATAAGGAGCCATATGATGGTTGAGGAAAGGAATCAAAAATTTGGGAGGCTTTACTGAATTTAAGGAGAGGAAGTTGGGAGAAATCTGGTGGGAATATGAATGTGGGAGATGGGAAGACCTGTGTAGCATTAGAGAGAAAGTTATGTGTTAAAAAGGATGGATCATAAAAAGTTAAAAGGAAAGGGTTCTGGTTGGCTTGGAGGAGGGAGAGAGAATCCACAGAATTTTTTAGCAGTTCAGGATCAAACAAACATCCTGTTTTCTCAGGATTTATCTGAACTCAGGTGAACTTACAAAATTTTCTGAAGTCCCCTCTCCCCTGCATCATTAAAGAGCTAGATTTATATGAAACTACATTTGTAAGATACAGGCCGCCAGTGGGGGAGGGGAAGTGATAACTGCCCCACGGCCTGACAATTCTAAGGGGCTATGGGCTCCCGGCATTGCTGCTGCTGGCAGTACTTGGAATCCTGGACCCTTAGATCACCCCCAGAGCAGCACACTCCAGGGAGCTCGAAGGGCTGTGGCGGGGGGAGACATGGCATGCTCTGGATGGTGCTGAAGGCTGGCTACCTCCGGCCTCAACCCTTACTCTAGAGCAGCAGTTCCCAACCTTTTCTAGGTGGGGACCCATTTTGACAGTTCAGGAAGTCTTGGTGACCCAAGGCAATTCAAAAACGGGGATGAGAGAGGGCAGAGCCACCTGGAGAGACACTTGACAACCCTTTTGAAATGTAATGGTGACCCATATTTGGGTTCTGACCCATAGGTTGGGGAACCCTGCACTAGAGGCTCAGCCCATTCTGAGAGCACGAAGCCAGACCCCTCCCGCAACCTTGCCCACAGGCCTGGTATGGCTGTCAGCTCTCCTGTTGATATACAACACAAACCACTCTCCTAGCTTCCCAGCTGAGGAAATATAATTTTAAAAAATCCATCCTTAGAGTCTCTTCCACCTATATAGCAATGAAGATTTTCATACCACTACATTGCACCCTGGGCTACAGTATATCTCTCTTTGTGGCTGCATATAACGACAGTAGATATGTTGTTTGCTTCTTGTTGGAATATGTTCCTCTTGAGAGCATGCTGTGGATGTTGTGAAACTCAGTGCATAGCTAAACTCTTCCTCAGCTTTGGCAATCCTGTTTGATCATACTGTGCTGATAGGCAGTGAAATAGTAGGACATTATCACTTTCTGCAACTGCACATTTTTGGAATAAAGATGCACAAAAATAAATGGAATGGAAGCCATATAATAGAGCTACTAGAGTAGCAAAAGTTTTTACCTGCTATAATTAATTAAGCTTAGCATCTTCTTTCCCGAAAATGAGACTTCATAAGAATGCACACTATTTAATTTCATATGTAGTGAACTAAGAAAATTAGATTGAAAGAATATTATGCACCATTTATATGCCAATAAATAGGTGCGGGCAAAAAATATTCCATTTATATTGTGAAACTTTAAACGATTTTATTACAAGCTATGTCTTTCACATTCACAGATAGAATGGTAGGACTTTCTCTCAGTTTTGGCTGTATTTACAAAAGAAACTTTTTTAAAAAAAAATTTAGCTTTTATCCAGTTCGGCTGGAAACCTGATTGCCACATTGTAAACCAGTGCCCCTTTGTTTTGCATTGAGAGGGAGAGAATGATATCACTAAAATATTATGCTGAAAGAAATGTGGAGGGAAATTTGTAAGTCTCACTTCACTTCAGACAAGTGACTATCTGTCTCACTTCCTGGTTCTTCATCTCTCTTAACATGTGCCTTTCTATGTTGCTTTTTCATTTCTAAACCACAACCTCACAGATACAGGTGAAACAGTAGCAGTTTCACTGTTCATCTCAATAGAACTTTTACTTTGATGTTAACATCAGAAAAGCTGGGCCCAAGCCAACACCTCAAACTCTTGGAACGTTTGAATCCATTTCGGCTCAGGCCTGTCTCTAAGATACACTGTTTGTGACTGTTTCCTGTGAAGTGCTCAATACCAAAGTTGGAGGAAGAGGAGGTCATGCTACACCTCGCAGGTACAGTTAATATAAACTGTAATGCAAATGCAGCAGTTTGTCCACATTTCTCTATGACCACTACTGAAAGATCTAGTGGTTGGGTGTTACTTCCCATTGCCCAACGTCATTTGACAAACTTAGCTTAGCATTAAATAGAAACAAAAAAGGAGAACGAACTTTGATTTTGGGAGAAATGAGGGCTTTATATGTAATGGGGAAAGAAGAAGATATAAACTGTAATGCAAATGCAGCAGTTTGTCCACATTTCTCTATGACCACTACTGAAAGATCTAGTGGTTGGGTGTTACTTCCCATTGCCCAACGTCATTTGACAAACTTAGCTTAGCATTAAATAGAAACAAAAAAGGAGAACGAACTTTGATTTTGGGAGAAATGAGGGCTTTATATGTAATGGGGAAAGAAGAAGATAGGTG